CACACACACACACACACACACACACACACACACACACACACACACACACAAAAAAAAAAAAAAAAAAAATAAAAAAAAAAAAAAACTATTGTTAAATAAGATGCTATACATTTGAAAAGAAGTTCAACATTATCTGGTTTAAGTGCCAATCAAGAAAAACAAAAATAAAATGTATACATATGTTTTAAAGGTGTCCAGTGTTGGTGGGGTCTTAACGTCAAAGTAAAGACTGGTCCAAAGTACAATCACAGCCACAACAAAAGCCTGCTCTCTGTGCTTTTATCTGCTCCTCGGTTTGTTCAGTACCATGCTTACTTGACTTTGGCTATCTTTAAGGATTGTACCAAATCAAAAGACTGTAGAGGTAAAAATGTTGCTGTATTGTTAAGATGACTTTCAAATAAACAATAAAATCTCAAAATGACTTGTAAACGAACAGGAAGCCAGTTCTAAGATGCCATAAGTGGTGAGCTGCAGCATTTTGAAGAGCAGCAAGTCATTAATACCAAAATAAAGATAATTTCCATAGTCAAGGCCAAACAAACTATAAGCATTAGTAATTCTCTTTCTATACACTATGTTCAAATAAGTGTTTGGACATASCAAAGGCCTTCAACTGGAGCTAACTAGCTCCTACAATGGTGTTTGTTTGTCAAAAGACAGGATGTTGTAAAAAATAGGGTATTTTTGTAAGACTTAAGAGAGCTAAAATTGTTAAGTGCATGTCAGTGAGGGTCAGAAGGGCCAAAAGGTACTGTCTGTTTTTTGGTACATTAAGGTTAAGAGAACTGAGTGGTATTTTGATTTTGGGTTCCCAATGCAATCCAACAAAGCCTTCCAATGAACTGCAGCTTTTATTTTGAGGGGAAGACAGATCTGTGCATTATTGACAGGGCAGTGGAATAACATGTGAGGGCGAGGAAAATAATAGACCTACAATGGACACTTGGGGAACTCCATGTGTAGCAGGAGCTGTTGAAAATGGCAAACCGCTTAAAAGAAAAACCTTTTGTTTTGTTTCTGCTTTTAATTCCAACACTCTTATTCAATTGAGAAATCAGAATATAATGTATCAAAAGCTGTTCTTAATTATAAAAATATTAACTAATATTTACATTACTATCATAGACAGATCAACTATTGAACTCGGTGCTTATAATTTGAAAGCATTTTGTTTTTTTTGTATCTTTTTTCCCCATTATGTGTGCATGAGCATGATTTTCAACACCTATTCATCCCACCAACTGAGTATGTTTTATAGAATAAAGACCAGTATTTAACCCCAGTCCCCCACATTTGTACTTCTGCTGTTTGTGTCATTTTATCTCCCAGCTTCCTATCCAGAAAATATGGAAACAGCGTTGTTTCTGTTTACTCCATCCTTTTCGTTTCCTCAGCCTTATTGATTTTTCATTGTGTTGGTTCGTGCACATGTGTGCGCTAACCACCCTTCGCCGTGTCTGTCTGCAGGAAACCAGAGGATCTGTCCAGGGAGGTGATTCAGATCCAGCAGAGAGAAATAGCTCTGAAAGAGCAGAACTACACACTCAGCAGCCGGTAAGACACACACTGACCAACTGGCACACCAAATCCCTCTCTTCTCTTTCAGACTTATTCCTCTCATTCTGCTCGCCTCTCATGTCTCTCTTCCCCATGTATCTATTAGAACATATCTCTTAGAAGTCCTTAATTGTCACAAAGTTAATTAAACTGGTCCTGACTCTGATAGCACTCCTGACAGTAACCATTGATGTGTGTGTGTGTGTGTGTGTGTGTGTGTGTGTGTGTGTGTGT